AGTCGACTGGTGTGGGTTGCATCCGGGGAGACAAGATTAAGGACCCCAATGGAAATAAGTTCGAGTCCTCGATGATGCACTGGCTTTCTTGGGTTATCCTGGGTGGCTAACCCTCCGGGGTTAATTGTTTCTCGGTAATTGTTTCACGAAAAGCCCACACCAACAAACTCTCTCCACATCTTCGAGTAATACAGCTGATGGTGGTGCATCAACAACAACAGCTGTGGTGCAGCTGACCATGGTGCAGCAGCAGCTGATCATGGTGCAGCAGCAGCTGTGGTGCAGCAGCAGCTGACTGTGGTACGATAGTATTTATCACCTTTTTTACCACAGGGTTGGCACTAGAAGCTTTCTTTGGGCCCATGGTGGCTTTTTTAGCAGTTACAAGCACTATAAATAATGGATAATACAAAATGTATCGAATGTATTGCATGCAACCGGCAACCCTGGCTTGTAAACAATGACGGCAAGGCAGGCGCTCAGGCTGGACGGACAGGTTCGGGACGAGTCATGCTCAGAGACAGCTGATGGTGCAACAGCAGCTGACCGTGGTGCGCAACAGCTGACTGGTCCAGCAACAGCTGACTGGTCCAGCAACAGCTGACTGGTCCAGCAACAGCTGATGATCAGCAACAGCTGACTGATCCACAACAGCTGACTGATCCAGCAACAGCTGACTGGTCCAGCAACAGCTGACTGATCCAGCAACAGCTGACTGATTCAGCAACAGCGATTCTTAAATCTCTCAAACCAACTTTGCTGGCTTTAAATTCCCAATATGAGCACTATTTTCCGGGCGTTTTTCCCTGTTCACCTGGGTTGTTAGTCGACTGGTGGGTGGGTTGCATCCTGGGAGACAAGATTAAGGACCCCCAATGAAAATAAGTTAACAGTCTTCGATGAACACACTTTTTTGGGTTATCCTGGGTGGCTAACCCTCAGGGGTTAATTGTGTCTTGGTATTCTCAATAAGCCACACCAACAACGGTGCTACAGCAGCAGCAGCAGCAGCTGACAGTACTACAGCAGCAGCAGCAGCTGACAGTGCTACAGCAGCAGCAGCAGCGACAGTGCTACAGCAGCAGCAGACGATGCTACAGCAGCAGCAGCAGCAGACGGTACTACAGCAGCAGCAGTGACGGTGGTACAGCAGCGCAGCAGCAGGACATGGCTACAGCAGCACCAGCAGCTACAGTGCTACAGCAGCAGCGCAGCTGACAGTGCTCACAGCAGCAGCAGACGATGCTACAGCAGCAGCAAAAGGGTACTACAGCAGCAGCAGCTGACGGTGGTACAGCAGCAGCAGCAGCAGCAGCTGACAGTGCTACAGCAGCACCAGCAGCTGACATTGCTACAGCAGCAGCAGCAGCTGACAGTGCTACAGCAGCGCAGCAGCTGACAGTGCTACAGCAGCAGCAGCAGCAGTGACAGTGTACAGCAGCAGCAGCAGCTGACAGTGCTACAGCAGCAGCAACAATGCTACAGCAGCAGCAGACAATGCTACGCAGCAGCAGACGGTACTACAACAGCAGCAGCAGCAGCTGACGGTGGTACCCCAGCAGCAGCAGCTGACGGTGGTACAGCAGCAGCAGCAGCTGACGGTGCTACAGCAGCAGCAGCAGCTGACAGTGCTACAGCAGCAGCAGCAGCTGACAGTGCAGCAGCAGCAGCACCCCTGACAGTGCTACAGCAGCAGCAGACGATGCTACAGCAGCAGCAGACGGTACTACAGCAGCAGCAGGAGACGGTACTACAACAACAGCAGCAGCAGCAGCAGCTGACGGTGGTACAGCAGCAGCAGCAGCTAACGGTGCTACAGCAGCAGCAGCAGCTGACGGTGCTACAGCAGCAGCAGCAGCTGACAGTGCTACAGCAGCAGCAGCAGCAGCAGCAGTTGACCATGGTACCACAGTATTTCGATAATATTTCTCACCCTTTTTACCACAGGGTTGGCACTAGAAGCTTTCTTGGGGCCCATGGTCACTTATTTTGCAGATAAAATCACCAAAAACACTGTAATAATACAAAATGTTACGATTGTATGCTTGGATGTTACCGCGGAGGCTGGCTTTTTAAACCCAATGCCACCGGGAACAGTGAGCGGCTCGCCTCACATAGACGTGTCTCGGACGAACAGCGTTGAGCGGGTTTTTTAGCGGTATGCGAGGCAAAATCTTAGCGATAAAATGTATCGGTATGCGGATTTAACGTTATGTAAGGCCAACGGTATGCGGGGGCCCACTGTATACCAAATGGGGAGTAGAATGAAATTAGTTCTGAGGCAGCCACACCACCGTATGTCCTCGGATCACTGTAAAACACCTAGCTCTGCTGGGTGCGTGATTTTTGTAGGAGTTGGAGGTCATGTGGGTTAGAGCTTCATGGGTCAAATAACTAGAGAACAGTCAAGAAATTACTCGTCAGCACTTACCAGCCCGATAAGAAGGTCAAAAAAATTGTACAGTGGACCCCCGGTTAACGATATTTTTTCACTCCAGAAGTATGTTCAGGTGCCAGTACTGACCGAATTTGTTCCCATAAGAAATATTGTGAAGTAGATTAGTCCATTTCAGACCCCCAAACATACACGTACAAACGCACTTACATAAATACACTTACATAATTGGTCGCATTCGAAGGTAATTGTTATGCGGGGGTCCATTGTATTATGAAAATAGATTACATAACATCAAAGGTGATATGAGAAAAACCTGGAAAACTCTATCTGAAATTCTTGGAACTAAAAAGTTATCCAAAAACAAAACAATCAAACTAACAAAATCAGATGAACCCCTACTCACTCCAACCGAAACAGCAAACAGTCTTAATGTTTTCTTCTCCACCATAGGAAAAAATCTAGCAAACAAAATACCAAGCACAAACGCCCGTCCATCAGACTACCTCATAGGTACCTACCCAAATACGCTATTCCTAGCTCCAACCAACCCCACTGAAGTTACTTTCATAAACACCCTTAAAAACAAGGCGGAAAAAACAACTTGCCTGCTTTTAGTACAAAAAAAAAACTTCTCAAGTATTGTCACCAATTTTTTGCAACGCTCTTTAAACAAATCCATTAAATCATTTACCTTCCCAACAATCCTCAAAATAGCGAGGGTCACTCCGATCCATGAAGGAGGTGACCAAGCTGACTTGAATAACTATAGACCAATATCTAACTTACCACTGCTCTCTAAAATCTTTGAAAAATTAATTCATAGATGGATCTATTCCTACCTCGTTTCAAACAACATATTAAACCCTTGTCAGTTTGGATTCAGGAATAATAAAAGCACAAATGACACTATCATACACATACTAGAACTATTATAACTCAAGAAATCGTAATGACACGACGGGCTGGAGTTTTGAGACTCTATGACCGCGGGTTCAATCCCAGCCGGGGGTATGGTTAGAACTAATATATACCGCACTTGAAAAGAAAGAAGTCCCGCTGGGCATTTTCATTGGTTTATGTAAAGCTTTCGATACTGTCGACCATGAACTACTGTACTCCAAATTAATGCACTGTGGTATCAGAGGTCACTCCCTCAACTACCTAAAGCCATACCTTAGTAACAGAACTCAATATGTGTATGCAAATGATGCAAACTCCTCCACCCAACCAATCACAGTAGGAGTCCCACAAGGAAGCGTCCTTGGACCACTCCTCTTTCTCATCTACATCAATGATCTACTGAATGCATCACAGCTACTCAAACCCATATTATTTGCAGATGACACTACATATGTATTTTCCCACCCAAACGCAGTCATAGTAGCAAACACAGTCAATGCTGAATTACAGAAGATATCTGCCTGGATGATGACTAACAAACTTACCCTGAACACTGATAAAACCTATTTCATTCAGTTTGGAAACAAGGCTGCAAATGATCCAGTTAACATTACGCTAAATGGATCATCAGTCACAAGACTCACAGAGGGAAAATTCCTAGGTATCCACCTTGACAGTAGCCTAAAGTTCCGGACACACATACAACAAATCACCAAGAAAATCTCCAAGACTGTAGGCATATTATCAAAGATAAGGTACTACGTTTCACAATCATCTCTCCTGGCACTGTACCATTCACTCATATATCCTTACATATGGAATTTGTGCATTGGGATCAACAACATCCAATAACCTAAAACCCCTAATAACCCAGCAAAAGGCAGCAGTAAGAATGATAACAAATTCCCACTCCCGCCAGCATACTCCACCAATTTTCAAAAGTCTGAATCTGCTTACCATTAAGAACATCCATACTTATTCAAGTGCCTACTACATACACAGAACAATACAGGCAAATATAAACCCTCCACTCAAACTTCTCCTCACCAACCTAAACAGGACACATGACCACAACACAAGACACAGAACTCTTTTTGATATACCTCGTGTCCATATCACACTGTAAAAACTCAATGCACATAAAGGGCCCCAAAATATGGAATTCATTACCAGAAGAATTAAAGTAACCCCGTTGAAAATCAATTTAAGACTCTTCTCAAAAGCCACTTAATCACCCTAAACTAAATGCTAAATACTCAGTACACATTTACTCACCTATATATAAATATGTATATCTTTGTATTATACAAATTTTGATTCATTTATAATTAATATTCTACTGTACAACTATGAAATAATTACTTTCCTACTGTACAACTATGACATTCCAATCCTTAGTATTAAGTAGAATGTAAGCCAATAATGTTAAGTTGGCCCATAATGCCTAGGCATAATAGAGGCTATCTTTGCATTGCAACCCACTATTGTATATACGCAATCTCAATGTACTGTTTGCAAAGACATTAAATAAATAAATAAATAAATAAATGTGATTTTCGCTCAACATTGAGGTGGTCCAAAACGATATGGATTCGAGTCCTCGACTATTCACAGTGTTGTTATTGATCAATACCACTCCTTCAACTGTATTAATATCGTCACTTCTATCTTAGTGTATTGCCACCGTTACTTTTACCCGCAGACGAGGTGGATGGAGTGTTTGTGGTGACCAATGGGCTAGTACGTGCTGAGGTCAATGCCTGGGGTCAGGTTATCAGCCTGCAGGTCACTGGTGACCCCAGAGACGTCTTCCGTGGGGCAGATGGTACCCAACTAGTGGGCAACCAACTAGTGTTGTATGATGACCAGCCTATCTACTGGGATGCCTGGGATGTCATGGACTACCATCTGGAGACTCCTCAAGTCCTTAATGCTGATGGGGTAAGTAAAAGACTCCCATTATTAAACCATACCACAGGCAGGGACTGAACTCGTGGCACTTGACTCATAAAACTCCAGGTCAGCATGTAAGCCACTGGGTCAACTGGCTACAATAAGATTCATCCAACTAGTTATATTTATACACCATAGAGAGGTTAGCACAGGCCACCACTGTGACCACAGAGCACATGCACACCATATACAAACAGCTGATATCAGTGACATACTATACAGAAAGCCACTTGTTATGCAGAGCATTTAGGGCACACCAGTTGCTTAACACCCAGGTACCTACTTACTGCTGGGTAAACAGGGACAACAGGTCACGTCGTGACCCCTGCAATCAAACTTGCTCTCGGGGTAGCGAAATTTAAAAAAAAAATTCGTAAGCAATGATAGAGAATCTTTTAAGAAGGTAATGAAACCAGAAATACAAAACTTGATGGAAAACCTACAGAATTATGCTCTTGTAAAGTTAGCCATCTCAGCGATTTTACTCACTTTGCGCCCTATTTTTGGCAAATATCTATTTCGCTAGTATTCCTTCTATTCTATTGATTGAATACAAGAAATACCACCCACTTACCTATTTCAGCTGCCCAATGGAGTGGCCAGAAATCGATATTTTGGCTAATTTCACTCGAAATTCAAAACTGCCAGTTTGAAAATAGGGTCCAGAATAAACAACACAGACATCTCTGGCATTAAATAACATCTCTGTTCTTAAATCACATCTCCAGGTTCCTCTTACATAAGGCTTGCTTTCCATGTTGAATGCCTTCAGAATTCTAAGGAGAGGGAGCATAGACACAGGGGTCATCCCACACTCACTAAAAACAACAGACATAGCCACACTCCACAAAGGTGGCAGTAAAGCAATTGCAAAGAACTACCGACCGATAACACTAACATCCCATATCATAAAAATCTTGGAAAGGGTTCTAAGAAGCAAGATTGCCACCCATCTAGTTACCCATCAGTTACACAACCCAGGGCAACATGGGTTTAAAGCAGGTCGCTCCTGCCTGTCCCAGCTACTGGACCACTATGACAAGGTCCTGGATGCTGTAGAGGATAAACAAAATAAAGATGTATACACAGATTTCACAAAAGCTTTCGACAAGTGTGACCATTGTGTAATAGCACACAAATTACGTGATAAAGGAATAACAGGAAAGGTTGGTAGATGGATCTATAACATCCTAACAAACAGAACGCAAAGAGTAATAGTAAACAGAGTATGGTCTGAGGCAGCTATGATGAAAAACTCAGTTCCACAAGGCACAGTACTCGCTCCCATTCTATTCCTCATCCTCATATCTGACATAGACAAAAATTTAACCCATAGCTCCGTGTCTTCCTTTGCGGATGACACCCGGATTACCATGGCAGTGACCTCCATCGAAGACACTGCGAGACTCTAGGCGGAAATTACTTCATGGTGGATCAGGGTCTGATCAACCAGGTTGTTACTGCTGGCTGCAGGCAAGCTGACATACGAACCACAGCCCGGTTGGTCAGGTAATGACTTAAGGTGTCCAGTGCCTTCTTAAAGACAGCCAGGGGTCTATTGGTAATCCCCCTTACGTATTCTGGGAGGCAATTGAACAATCTTGGGCCCCGGACACTTATTGTGTTTCTCTCAATGTACTCGTGGTGCCCCCTGCTTTTCATCAGGGAAATGTTGCATCTCCTGCTGAGTCTTTTGCTCTAATAGGGACTTTCCAAGTGTATATTATCATGTATCTCTCTCGCCTCCATTCCAGGGAATACAGATCAAGGACCTTCAACCATTCTCAGTAGTTTAGGTGCCTTATTGTACTAATATGTGCCGTAAAAGTTCTTTGTACATTCTCCAGGCCTACAATGTCACCAACCTTGAAGGGGGCCGTTAGTGTACAGTAGTATTCCAGCCTAGAGAGCACAAGTGATTTGAAGAGAACCATCATGGGCTTGGCATCCCTAGTTTTGAAGGTTCTCATTATCCCTCCTATCATTGTTGTGGTCTTTGAAGGCGAGATCCTCTGACATTATCACTCCCAGGTCCTTCACATTACTTTTCCGCTCTATTGTATAGTTAGAATTTGTCGTATACCCTTATACATTTTTAATTTCCTCTAGTTTCCCATATCTAAGTAGTTCAAATTTCTCCTCGTTGAACTTCATATTGTTTTGAGTGGCTCATTTGAAGATTTGGTTGATGTCCACTTGGAGTCTTGCAGTGTCTTTGATGGAGGTCACTGCCATGGTAATCTGGGTGTCATCCACAAAGGAAGACACGGAACAATGGCTTACATCTCTGTCTATGTCAGAAATGAGGATGAGGAATAGAACAACCAAATCTTCAAATATACCACTTAAAACATGATGTTTAATAAAGAGAAATTTCAACTACTCAGATATGGAAAACTTGACAAAATTAAAAGTGTATCAGGGTGGACAACACATTCTAACCATACAATGGAGTGAAAAAGTAATGTGAAGGACCTGGGAGTGGTAGTGTCAGAGGATCTCACCTTCAAAGATGACAACAATGTATCTACCACATCTGCTAGAAAAATTGTAGGATGGATAATGAGAACCTTCAGAGCTAGGGTTGCCAACGCCATGATGATTCTCTTCAGAACTCTTGTGCGCTCTAGGTTGGAATACTGTTGTACACTTACTACCCCCTTCAAGGCAGGTGAAATTGCTGACGTGGAGAGTGTACAAAGGCCTTTCATGGCACGCGTAAGTACGATAAAGTACCTAAATTGCTGATAACAGTTTTAGTCCCTTGGTTTGTATTCCCTGGAATGCAGGCAAGAGAGATACATGATAATATACACTTGGAAAATCCTAGAGAGATTAGTTCCAAACCTGCACAAGAAAATCTCTCCCTATGAAAGCAAAAGACTCGGCAGGAGCAAAAGACTCGGCAGGAGATGCAACATTTCACCAATGAAATGCAGGGGCACCATGAGTACACTGAGAGACAACACAATAAATGTGAAGGGCCCAAGATTGTTCAACTGCCTCCCAGCATACATAAGCAGATTACCAATAGAGCCCTGGCTATCTTCAAGAAGGCACTGGACAGGCACCTAAAGTCAGTACCTGACCAGCCAGGCTGTGGTTCGTACATCAGTTCTTGTGTGGCCAGCAGTAACAGCCTGGTTGATCAGACCCTGATTCACCACGAGGCCTGGTCTCTGACCAGCCTGCGGTTGCATTGATCCTCGATATCCTCTCCAGGTACACACACACACACACACACACACACACACACACACACACACACACACACACACACACACACACACACACACACACACACACACACACAGACACACAGACACACACACACACACACACACACACACACACACACACACACACACACACACACACACACACACACACACACACACACACACACACACACACACACAAATAATAGAAGATTTGCTGATTGAGACATGCATTATACAGTGGACCCTCACCTAACGAACGCATCGCATCACGTTAAATCCGCATAGCAAAAATTTTGCCTCGGCTAGCACTAAAAAACTCTCTCAATGCGATTCGTTCGAGACGCGTCCACATGCAGCCTGAGCCCGCCTCACTTCTTCCGTGGGTGCCAGTGTTTACAAGCCAGCCACCGCGGTCACTTCCAAGCATACAATCGGAACATTTCATATTATCACAGCCTTTTTAGTGATTGCACCTGCAAAATAAGTCACCATGGGCCCCAAGAAAGCTTCTAGTGCCAACCCTACAGCAAAAAGAGTGAGAATTACTATGGATATGAAGAAAGAGATCATTGCTAAGTATGAAAGTGGAGTGCGTGTCTCCGAGCTGGCCAGGTTGTACACAAAACCCTAATCAACCATCGCTACTATTGTGGCCAAGAAAACAGCAATCAAGGAAGCTGTTCTTGCCAAAGGTGCAACGTTGTTTTCGAAACAGAGATCGCAAGTGATAGAAGATGTTGAGAGACTGTTATTGGTGTGGATAAATGAAAAACAGATAGCAGGAGATAGCATCTCTCAAGCGATCATATGTGAAAAGGCTAGGAGGTTGTATGATGATTTAATTAGAAAAATGCCTGCAACTAGTGATGATGTGAGTGAATTTAAGGCCAGCAAAGGTTGGTTTGAGAGATTTAAGAATCGTAGTGGCATACATAGTGTGATAAGGCATGGTGAGGCTGCCAGTTCGGACCACAAAGCGGCTAAGAAAATATGTGCAGGAATTCAAGGAATACACAGACAGTGAAGGACTAAAACCTGAACAAGTGTTTAATTGTGGTGAAACAGACCTGTTTTGGAAGAAAATGCCAAGCAGGACCTACATTACTCAGGAGGAAAAGGCACTCCCAGGACATAAGCCTATGAAAGACAGGCTTACTCTGTTGATGTGTGCCAGTGCTAGTGGTGATTGCAAAGCGAAGCTTTTATTGGTGTATCACTCTGAAACTCCCAGAGTGTTCAGGAAAAACAATGTCCTCAAGGCTAATTTGTGTGTGCTGTGGAGGGCAAACAGTAAGGCATGGGTCACTAGGGACTTTTTCTATGACTGGTTACACCATGCATTTGCCCCCACTTTGAAAAATTTCCTAATTGAAAAGAAATTAGACCTTAAGTGCCTCCTGGTATTAGACAATGCTCCTGGTCATCCTTCAGACATGGCAGAGCGACTTTCTGCAGAAATGAGCTTCATTAAGGTCAAGTTTTTGCCTCCTAATACCACTCCTCTCGTGCAGCCCATGGACCAGCAGGTCATTTCCAACTTCTAGAAACTGCACACAAAAGCTTTGTTTGAAAGGTGCTTTGTAGTGACCTCAGAAACTCAATTGACTCTAAGAGAGTTTTGGAGAGATCACTTTAGCACCCTCAATTGTGTAAACATTATTGGTAAGGCTTGGGAGGAAGTGACTAAGAGGACCTTGAACTCTCCTTGGAAGAAACTGTTGCCAGAATGTGTAGAAAAAGGGATTTTGAAGGGTTTGAGGCTAAACC